TTCTTTTAGGCGGCTTCCAGAAGAATATTTGTGGCACTCTCCTTGGGCAAGAATCGATTTTCGGCTGGATCCTAAGTGGTCCAGTGACCCAGAGCCCCGTGCAGTCTCTCGCTTCGTTTTCCACTCACGTGGCGGTGAGCCATGACGGCATGTTAGAAAATCTTCTCACCAAATTTTGGGAGGTGGAGGATCTTCCAGGCAGAGTGATGAAGGAATCTGATGCCGTATGCGAACAAAATTTTGTCCGTACTACACGAAGAGAAGAGAGCGGCAGGTATGTGGTCACCTTACCATTCAAGGATCCTGATCACATTGATCTGGGGCACTCCCGATCCATTGCTCTGGCTCAATTCCTGAAAAACGAGTTTCGGTTGAAGAAGAACGTCTCTCAGAAAGAGCAGTATGACTCAGTGGTACAAGAATACCTTGATCTGGGTCATATGCGACAAGTCGCTCCCGATACCGCATCCGCCAATTTCTATCTGCCTCACCATGCCGTGCTCAAGCCTGACAGTACTACTACCAAGGTTCGGGTAGTTTTCAACGGCTCAAACCCTTCTTCTAACGGCAAGAGCCTAAATGATGTCCTCCATTCAGGTCCGGTTTTACAATCCGATCTCACCATGCAAATTTTGAAATGGCGTTTTTTCAAGTATGTGTTTAGCTCCGACATCACGAAGATGTATCGCCAGATTCTTGTAGATCCCAAACACACGCCGTTTCAAAGGATTCTTTTCCGCAACCAAGATGGTGATCTTTGTGACTACGAATTGAGCACAGTCACCTTTGGTATAAATTGCGCCCCTTTTTTGGCCATTCGAGTCTTACAGCAACTTGCCAAAGACATCCACACACAATATCCGCTAGCGAGCCAAGTGATCTCCAACTTTATGTACGTGGATGACGTACTAGCGGGGGCACATACAATCCGCAGCGCGGTGGCGACCATTAATGAGCTGCGGGAAGCTCTGGGCACCGCTGGCTTTCCTTTAAGAAAGTGGACGTCCAACAATCGGGAGTTGCTACGAGATGTGCCTCGTGAGCACATGCTGTGCGTTGATTTTCTGGATCTCGAAGATGCCAGCACAGCAAAAACCTTAGGAGTCCGTTGGAAAGCCACAACAGATGAATTCTTCTTTGTAGTTCCCAAGGTTGAACTACAATCCTCCTATACAAAGCGCGAGGTCCTTTCTCATGTCGCTAAGCTATTCGATCCAGCGGGCTGGCTGGCTCCCTTTATCCTGCGCTCGAAGATGTTCATGCAAGAGCTTTGGCTGAGCGAGATCGGGTGGGATGACCCGTTGCCTCCTCAGTTGCATCGTCAATGGAACGAGCTCCTGCAGGAGTACCCCCAAATTAACCACATCCGCGTACCGAGATGGCTTAATTATGAACCCCAAGTATCCTTCCAGTTCCATGGTTTCTGTGACGCCTCCCAACGCGCGTATGGAGCCGCGCTTTACGTCCGGGTTCAATTCGGCAACGATGTGCGAGTGCATCTCCTCACAGCCAAGACGAGAGTGGCTCCGGTTAAGACCGTGTCCTTGCCACGGCTGGAACTGTGCGGTGCTGTCCTTTTGGCTGATATGGCTGCTGCCGTCCTGCCGAATCTCCCCCTTAGCAGCTACGACACTTTCTTTTGGACGGATTCGACGATTGTGCTGGCCTGGCTCAGCAAGCCAGCTTGCACTTGGACGACCTTCGTCGCCAATCGAATTGCAAGGATTGCTTCCGCCGCAGAGAAGTGGTCACACGTGCGATCCGAGCACAATCCGGCGGATTTGGCAAGCCGCGGTACGTCTCCGCAGGACTTGTGGTCAAATACCTTATGGTGGCATGGCCCTGATTGGCTCAAGTACCCTCATGCAGAATGGCCCCGTTTGGGTCTCCCGATGCTTGACACCGACATGGAGAAGCGCACCATTAGAAGCCATTTTGCGCAAGTGCCACCAGCTGCAGACTTCCTCGAACGTTTTTCTGACTTCGGCAGAGCTCTTCGGGTCACAGCGTACGTTCTTCGTTTGAGCCCACGATGCCGGAAGGCACGTCCCCAACGGCCCAGCGAGCTTAGCAGCACTGAGCTGGTCGAAGCTCAACGGGCCCTCATCATATGCACTCAGCGAAGGGAGTATCCGAAAGAGTTCCAATCCTTGGAGAAAAGGCAACCGGTGTCCTCGTCAAGCTCAGTCCATAATTTGAATCCCTTCTTGGATGAACACGGGATCATGAGATCGTGTGGTCGATTGGTGGCCTCTCGGACATTGAGCTATGATGAACGCCACCCTATTGTGCTCCCCTACAGTTGTTGCTTTTCTCGTCTCCTGGTCTTGTTCACTCATCGGCTTTCTCTACATGGAGGAAACCAACTCACAATTAACCTCGTCCGATCTAGGTATTGGATCCCGAGGCTGCGGGTCCTGGTCAAGTCTATTATCAACTCGTGCAAGGTGTGCCTTATCCACAAAAAGAAGCTCCAGACACAGTTGATGGGAGAGCTACCAGTACCACGGAGCACTTTCTCTCCGCCATTCACCCACACTGGTATTGATTATGCCGGCCCCTTCGAAATTAAAAACTACACTGGCCGTGCCTGCCTCATAACGAAGGGATACGTCTGCGTATTCGTTTGCTTCAGCACAAAAGCAATCCATTTAGAGGCGACTTCCGATTTGACGACCGAAAGGTTCCTGGCAGCCTTTGCACGTTTCGCGGCTCGACGGCGATGTCCAACGCAAATCCAGTCTGACAACGGCACGACCTTTGTCGGAGCGGCAAAAGCGTTGGATCGTGATTTCCTTGAGGCGACACGAGCTTGCATAACTGCATCCTATCCTCAACAGATCCTCTCCTGGCATTTCATTCCGCCCGGTGCTCCCCATATGGGTGGTTTGTGGGAGGCCGGTGTCAAGAGTTTCAAAGCTCTGTTCTACAAACACACTTCCGGTGTTAAATACACATTCGAGGAGATGTCCACGCTGCTCTGCAAGATTGAGGCGTGCCTTAATTCACGCCCAATCTCTCCGATGTCCGAGAACTCCAGTGACCTGCTGGCTCTTACTCCAGGTCATTTCCTGACCGGTGGCCCCCTTCTCTCCTTGGCAGAGCCAGAAATCCAAGAAGACGCAGTCTCCATTGTCAACCGTTGGCGTCGTCTCAAGGCCTTAAACCAACAGTTTTGTTTTCGTTGGAAAGACGAGTACCTGAAGGAGCTCCATAAGCGCAGCAAGTGGCAACAGCCCGCGCGGAATCTCCAATCAGGTGACATGGTGGTCATAAAGGAAGATAACATTCCTCCCAATGAATGGCGCCTGGGCCGTGTTCAAGACACATTTCCTGGCTCGGATGGCAGAGTCCGTGTAGTCGAAGTTCGGACTGCACGAGGCACCATCAAAAGGCCCATCGTTAAATTAGTCTTCCTTCCGTTCGAGGACAGCTCCACTGTCCAATGACTAACATTCCCAACGTCCGTTTCCATGCATAATTTTTTAATGTTTTTCCTCGCTTTTTCGTGCAGCTCTTTTCCCACAACCATGGCACCTCACAAGAACCGGTCGCACGGGAGCAAGCGTCGCATGGGAGTGGATTCGTTCCGCTGCAGAGTCTGTCGGGGAGTCCATCCCCTCCGCAAGTGTCAGCGGTTCCTGCGGCTTAATGCGGAAAAGCGGCTTAGGGCAGTGCTCATTAATCAGTACTGCCCCAACTGTCTGGCCCACGAGCACTCTGGAGCTGACTGTCGGAGCGGTGACCGGTGTCGGATCTGCGAAAAGGACCACCACACTTTGCTCCACATGCGGGAGCACGCACATCGTGGGACAACACGCGATCGTGCAGGCACCCCTCCCAGGCGGTCCGCCAGAGCGCCAGTCGTGGTCGAGCGCTTGCCGCGCCAACACGGACGAGGCCGTGCAGGCACGCCTCCAAGGCGGTCCGCCAAAGCGCCGTCCTCGTTGCCTGTCCCACAGGCTCCTACGCTCTCCTCACTCCTCCAACACGGGAAAACTCTGGTCATGCCCACGGCTGTCGTCCAAGTCGGTTCAGGGCGGAAATGGTTTGACGTCCGCGTCCTCCTGGATCCCTGCAGCCCTGTAAGCCGCATCAGCGAATCCTTCGCCAAAGGCCTGAAGCTGGCCAGTGTCCCGATCGGTGCCGAAAAAGCCTGCTCAGCCTTGGTGCGCTCCAAGCACAGCCCTTCCACCGAACTGGAGGTGATCCTGAAGGTGGAGGCCAAGGTCCAGCACCGGACCCCCTCGGCTGCAGTGGGCGAGTCGGTTCGGCGCCACTTCGCGCATCTGTCACTGGCGGACCCCAATTTTGACCGGCCTTCCACGGTCTTCCTGGTCTTCGGCGCTGATGTGTACCCAAAAATCATACAGCAAGGGCTGTTGCCGGGTCAAGCCGAAATCCCCGTCGCTCAGAACACCCTCTTCGGCTGGATCTTGTCCGGCTTCTGCAGCGGCTAAGCGCTTCCCAAGCCGTCCCCACGTTGTTTTGCAATGTATTGCAAGGGGGGCGGAATGTTCGCGTAAGAGGAGTGCGTACTGTCCGTCGGTCGTCGGCTGCCGACTTTGAATTCACCACACCGGCGACCGCCTAGCAGAGGCTTAGAATAAGTTTAGATTAGGCTTAGTTTTTAGTATTCGCATTGTATCGCAAGTGTGAAGTCAGCGCATGCGCGCCCCCAAATCGATTTAAGTTAATCTGTGAAGTTTTAATTGAAACAATAAACGACACCATCACCACATCAACTCGTCCTCTGCATTTGGTACTACACAGCGTCCACCCCACTACATTTTCACATGCCAACTGGCAACGAGCACTGAAATGAATAGCATTTTTTCAAGACTGCGGTATTGCCGAGCATTACTTCTATATATAGGCAGCAGGGTGCATTAAAGTTCGTTCAAAAAGTGATTAGTCCGTGATATCTGATAAAATGGAAATTAGAGTCGTTTTCGTAATTTTCTAGGAAAATATAAAATTTTATTTGATAGCAAAAATCATTAACGCTTTACAAACTTGTCCCACGCTTAAAAGGCGAAAATACATATGTAAGTATGTAACTATTCTTAAGTGGCTATTGGTTTATTCATGACGCTCTTATTCGATAGATAAGTAATCTCCTTTCTCAAGAAATTCGATTTGATAAATAGGCGAACATACATTTAATAATGCTTTTCAAATTTAGCTCAATTCAATCCTCATTGAAAACATGTCGCCGGCCTTTTCAACGCATCTATTGGACGTTATATTGAAAAAGTGTCAAAACATACGCTTGTGTAGAATCACATAATGCGTTTACTTAGTTTTATAGCTAAATGGTTGATTTGTTCAATTCACGCACTGTACTGAATGGTTTGCCTTACTCTAACTAATTTAAATAAAAATCTCTATAAAATTAAATTGTTTTAAATGTTATGGAAACCCTAAGACTGACTCAAAACATAGTATGTCTGCTGATACGTATTATGGAACCTTAAGTTGTGTGACTTGATTTATTAGTGTAATGAAATGCCTACAAATCTAAGCCTAACTTTCGCACATACTAATATCTAAAGTGATAAATATGTAGAATAGAAAATGTCTGAATAGAAAATCGGTTTACAATGAATGTTGCCTTGAGTATTGAGGAAGAGAAAAACATTTGAACAGTAAAGAAGAGTTGAACACCACTTTAGAGGGCGACTACTAGTTCGCTTCTGCAAATTGGTTACAATCGAAAATATCCAAGACTTCAGAGGTTCTACATTTTAGGCACCATCAAAGGGTGGTTATGATGCACGTTGTAGGACTAAAGCGCACAGATCTAGTTAGTTTAAATATTGAATGGAAAGGCAGTTGGTGAAAAGGTGATTGGAGCCCTTTCAGAAACTACTGAAAGATGACGTCCGTCCACGTCCACGTCCACGTTGCTTTTATGCAGTGAAAGGGACCGTTTTGCGGGGACGTATTGATACGAGAAACTGCATTTTGGACTGCCTAGGTGAATTGTGTTAAACTAAACTTAAAATCTTTTATTTGACAAGAGATAACATGCGCTTCAACTAATAATTGATCCCTTCGTCACAGTCCATCCACACCATGTGCACCGATTCGTTCAGTGATAGTAATCGCCGTACTGATAGGTAGGCGGCTGTTGCGTCTTGCCCTGCTGGTACAGATTATGATGAGAGGATGAGCGCACGCGGGCGTGCGGCGAGGTGCGGTAGGCATAGTTGGCGGCTGCAGTCTCTGAGTGGCGCTGGCCGGGCGAATTGCCGCGTCGTGCGCGACGCTCCTCAATATTCGCTGGCCAGCGCTGGTGATAGCGTGTCGAGTCCTCTGAGGAGCGACGGCGATGGTACCGCTTGGCCGATGAACTGGCCAGCGGCGGCTGCGTGGCGATCTGCTGTCTACAGCTGCTATCATCGCCACTGCCCGCAAAGGTCTGATCATATTTTCGCCGGAGACGTTCATCGATGGATGAGTTGGGCGTTGGTGGATCCTGCAGTTCCATGTCAATTACATCACCGTGCGAGTTTCGGCGATCCCTCTGCATGTCGTAGTTTTCGTACGGCCGACGCTGTTGCTTACTGCGCTGCTTCTGTTCATGAACTTCCAGGCGCTGCCGCCACTCGGCGGCCGTTACCTGCTGGCCATAGAGATCTGGTTGTGCTTGGAACTGTGCGCCATTCCGAAAAATATTCTGATAGGATGAGCGTCGCCAGCTCTCCTCTGCGGCTGCTGCTGCGGCCAATTGTTGACGTCGTTGCGAGCGACTCGAACTGCTCTCGGAGGAATCCTCACCAGAAGTGCCTAGACCCTGGTCCTTCTCATCCACGCCATATGCCTTGTATGGAGCGCCTAAGAAGCCTTTGGAACCATAAGGTCCATTGATGCCCATTGTGGGATACTGCATGTAGTAGGAGTTTGCGAAAGGTTTCTCAGCCTTCATGTCACTCTCACTGTTTTCGATATCATCGTCACATCCATCGTCGAGACCCGTCCATGTGAGCCATGATCCCGGTCCAAATAGCGATAGCAGCACAGGCAGAAGAAAGAGTCCATGCATGGCGCCAAAGAATATAACCAGGAATACCATCTTGAAGAATACCAAGAAAATGTAACTCTGCGCCAAAAGCAACGCAATGATGCCCAATATTGTGGAGGTAGAGCCCTGAACAATTGGCAAACCGAGCGAATGAAGAGCCTCGCGTACTCGCGCCTTGGGACTGCGCTTCTTGGAGGTCATGTATGTGTAGCAAATGTGTGCGGTAAAGTCGACGGAAAAGCCGATGCACATGATCAGATTGATCATGGAAATGGAATCCAGATTCACATCCCATAGCGCCATATAGCCGGCTACGCCCAGTTCAATGGATATGACCGAGAAGGCTACCCATAAGGAGCACAATATATTGGGTATAAAAATGAACGATATTATCATCATGATGATGGCTCCAATAACCATGGCCTGCAACGAAACCGGTCGCACTAGCTCGAACTGATCGAAGAACACAAAGTAGGGGTGGAAAATAGAGGCATTCAGCGGGGAGTCCTTGCAAATCTTTCGCAGATCGCGCACCATTTCCTTCTCGTGATTCGTGTCTGTTATGTTTACAGCCTGTATCAGAAAACGTGAGGCTATAATTTGCGTCTCATCCTCATTGAAGCGTACGTCCAGTGAGAAGGGATTGCCTGGAAACAGCCAATGCTCCTTGACGGCCTCAATAAATGACTGCTCGTCATCAATGGTGACGTTCAGATAGTCGTTGGCTCGATCCATAAATGAGAGAAATGATCGCAGCCAGGATTCAGTGTAGAGCGACGAAGTTACATAGGAGGTGTGCTCCAAAGTTCTAGTCAAGTTCTCAATTTGCTGTTGCACCTCGACGTCGGAATAGTTCAATGCGCCCTCAATGATCACCTGCCAAAAGAAAATAGCGAAAGTCAAATAGTCCCTCAAGTGGGAAACACTTTCAAACACCCACCTGCATTCTGTAGGGAAACTCGCGATAGTAATCATCCTCACGATCAAAGAACTCCACGGAGTAAGAGTCCTCTCTGGACAACTTGCGTCGCTCCAGGCCCTCCTTAATTTGAGTGATACCATAGCAGGCGCCAACCAAATAGCTGGCAAAGGCCAATATTATGATTATCTTGCACCATTTGTTGTTGATCACCGCTGCCAGTCTGTCCTTGAAGAATGCCATCAACATGTGGTCCTTGTTATCCACGGGATTATCCGGGTCGTCGTGATTAATGCCGCCAGCCATGATTGCCTTGTAGAGGAAATTCCGTTTCTCTGTAAAGTGCAATAAGAGAAGCACGAATGTGGTGAGACAAGTTGCCATTGACCCAAATTATAAGCCACAGATTTGCTGGCATTTCTTCTTAGTCCAAGCTTAGACTAGTTTTCGCGTCATATTCAAGTTCATGTTGCAGCTGCAAGCTATCTAGCTTAAGCGGCCTAATCTAGAGATGGACATGTCAGTGAATGGTTTTTCATGCGAATCACGCCTTTGACTATTTGTGTATTTGGACTTTCCGAACTGGCTGATTAACCTTCTCCCAGTGAGTCAGTGATTCTTCACCTCTTAACTATATTTTCTCTATTATTTTTTAAGTATTTCAATTCTAATTTGTTATTTTAATTTTAACATTCTACTTGCACTTCTTTATCTTTTATTGCTATTTTTTCTTGTCCCTTTCTATTTTGTTAGGTCTAAAGCGTCTCTGACTAGTCTCTGCTGTGAATCAGGGCATAGCTGGCCATTTGGCAAATAATATTCCCCCACTGAGTCGGATTCGTTATTAGATATTTTTGTTATTTCGTACTGTTTTTTGATTCTTTTTCTCATCGACACCCATTGTCAATAAATAAAATATAAAAGATAAAATATTGGAGCTGATATACAAGCTCGCGGGATAAATCTCACTAATTTAATTATAAATTTATTTATTTAAGAAAAATTGTTTTCATCAACTCGTTTGATAGGAATAGTGGCGAAATATCCAAAGCAGTAAAGTGAAACTCTTTTCTAACGTATTTGAAATCCCATTAAATCTTGAATTTTCAATAATCAGTAAATGATTTCAACTTTTAGAACAAAGAAGACTTTTTATGGCAATGTTGTCCCCATCCTTAGAAAAAACTCGATAAAGGTTATGTTTTGAAATAAATATAGCTTCTAGTTATATAGTATATGTGCAATCGGGGTCACGAATTACTGATTACTTCTACACGCACCCATCTCTAGCATAAATGCAATCTAATTGGCCACGAACAAATTAATTTGGCGCATTAAGAGTTGCGTTAGACTGCTAACTGGTCTGTGAACCTTGGACAATGAACCAACTCGAGCTGCCAACAATTGCGACCAGCGCTCGCTGGCTTCTTGGCCAGACCCTGGCATGTTCGCATGCCATGTGCGCCTCGTCACACAATCATCATAATGCGAACGGCGTTGTCTCCAACGAAAATTGCTCAATTTTTATTGTTGGGTCGACAAGTAAAATGCAAATGAGCCGTGCTGACAAAGACTTGTTGCGGCCGATGCGCTCGACTAATGTGCAACCACCCGGGCCGGAGAATCGGACTCACCTTTGATGGCCACCGACATGGCCTGCACTTTGCAGCCGAAAATGGCGTGCAGGTTCTTGCGCTCCCTATATCCCGAAATGGCCATGCAGGCGGCGAAGAAAGTGATGTGCCAGACGAAGGTGAAGCAGACGGCAAAGACCGAGTAGGTGCAGAAGATCTTGACTGAGCGGAAGGGACTGATGATGCCGATCAGGAAGGATATGAAATCTGTCACAGAAGTTATGGTTATGGAAACTGCTGCCTCGCTCATCATGTGTGCCATACGCTCGTGCACGGGCATCTTGGCAGGTGTCCGACGCCAGCCGGCCAACATCACAAAGGTGTCGTCAATTCCAATTCCTAGACAATGAGTAATGAAATCATTAAGTCCATACTCGTATACTCGTATGTGAAAAGATTAAAATGCTCACCAATCATCAGGAATGGTGCGGCCAAATTAATTCCAATGAACTCTATGCCGCAATACATGGCCAAACCAAAGGCCGCCAGGGTGGCCATAATAGCTGAGATATTGCCCATAAGGCCCAGCCAGGGCTTGGAGCGTACGGCGTCGCCCATCATACAGGTGAGCACGCTGCGACAATAAAAATTGTAGAGAGAAATGATTTTCTATATATGTAGATTTGCTTCCACTTAATCCAACTTACCTAAACAGGCCCATGAGCAGGAACGTGGAACTAAAATAGGGCACCACGGTTTTTGTATTTTTCTCCAGCTCGTGGTCGAGCGTGCGGGAGGCGAAATAGGATACCGATATATGCTTGAACATGCCAGAGTTCTCAGCTTTCCCCACCTCTCTCAAGAATGTTTCCTCCCATTCAGCGCCCCTGCGAATTGAGAAATGTCATTTGTAATTATTATTTCTTAGCTCCCTGAAGAGGCTTACTTCGCATCCTGGCGCTTGTTATCCGCCGTTACAAAGTAGACCAGCTGTATGGCCGGCACACTGATTATATAATTATCCTCGGTAAGTTTTGTGCCGCCAAAGAACACGGGGAAGGCATGTGCGTCCCAAGTAACCGGATTAAACATGAGCGGAAACGTCAAATTCAGCTGTCCAGACTCAATCTGCGAAAGGTAATGGAAGTCTTAAGATATTGACAAAGTCTCCTTCCGGATTTCCCGCTACTCACATCGTCCATGATTGCGTCCAAGTTCAAGATGTCATTCTCAAAGCACTCGTTCTGCCAGCGCGCACAGATTTCCTTATAGGTGTAGGTATCGCCATCGTAGTAGACCGTGGCATTCTGGATGAGGTTGTCCAAAGTTCGCAGCTCCTCGAACACCTCCCGACGCAGCATATTCTCGTCGCCATCTTTGGGTATGACAATGACACGTCCAAAACGACCTGGAAATAGAGCAACAGTTATTGAACTGATTAGTCACAGTTGGGCCAAAAGTTTTCTGCCACCCCGAGCAACTTAAAAATTAGTAGCAAGAAGCTTGAAGGTTGCGACAACGGCAACGCCAACGCCAACGCAAACCGCCAAGGGGGCTGAACAGCAGTGCCGCGCGCCTTCATGGACAGACGTGACAATACTTTTAATGAATATCATTTGATCGAAGTTTTTTATACACATATTCAATTCCATTCCATTCTATCAGTGTACTCGTATTGTATCGATGTCCACACAATGTTTGTATAATGCGCCATAACGAATGCAATCGCCAGTACCTGCGTCAGTCTTTGGTATTGGCCATCATACAAATACATACGAGCATATCAATATAAATACACAAATATCTGTTTAGATGTATTTATATATGTATGTTCAAGAATCTGCTGTCTATACAACACTCGCAAAACGTGCCGGCATACACGTCGTGTTGATTTTGTGAATGAACTATTCGGTATCTGCGCAAAAGTTGGGCAATTAAGTTCGATTGCTAATATGCCATAGAAAAAATGTTCACGTTGCCCGCGCGCGTCCCCTAAACAGGAAGATAAATGGCTAGGAAGTTGTGGACCACATACAATTATAGACGTACTATATATATTACACATTTAAAATAAGAATCTACATCCCATAGCTTTAATCAATTTTCTTTCATGTTTGCTGCCTCACTAGCTCCTCACTAGCTGCATGTCCAATTAGAAGCATATATCGTATTGTTTATAATTACAAATTTTCCGTTCTTTAAATAAAACATAAATCAATATCACGCAAAAATCAATACAATCGTATTGCCTAGGGGTTAGGAGAGTCTTCATACCAAGACATTTTCCTTTTTTTTACATCGACAGCATTGTTTGTCGATGAATTAAATACAATTGTTCATTGAGACAGATGGAATATATATAGTATGCCTTATATAGTGGGATATGATTCGTTCTATCCATAACAGGCTTCAAAAAGCTTAAATTTAAATTCTACTGAAATTGGTTATATTATTAAATAATATCGTTATATAGTAATAATTCTTCTAGGTTGAGATAAAAAATCGAACTAATAATTGCTGTGCGTTTATTACAATGTAAATAAAAACAAAAATAAATTGTATTGAAAAAACTAATGGAATTGGAAAAAATATTTAAAATTGTCTATTCAGTCGATCAATATTTCTATCAAATTGTCTAGGAAGTTATAATTCGCAGCGCTGATACTATATATTCCCCACACTCGTCTCTATCTTTTTACTGATAGACCCCCCCTCCATACTCATGTATCCTGTTATTTTTACTCCCAAATCTTTCACTACAAATTGTTTTGTCCTCATCCCACGTTTGCTCATTAATGTTGCCACATCGACCACGATGACAACTACCGTCTCATTATATAGGAGCATATAATTTTGATCAACATATATCACTTCTGTAAAAAAACACACACACAGCCCCTGTTTTTATAAATTCGCCATTGCAAACGAAGAGAAATTTATTTTCACAAACTCAGCCCATATTTGCTTTACAATACTCCGTCAATTCCAGTAAATAACAATAAATGTCTTCAATGACTGAATGATTCAGACTTACTGATTCATCATCGCCCATATAACTGCCCACCACTGAAGGTAAGGGCCTGAAGTTGGGAAATCTTTTCTTTAGAAATAACCAATTTCGGTAAATATAATTTAATATGTGGTAACAAATTTTGGAGTGGCATATATATAAATAGGAAACTAGGTTCTGGTGCATAGCGAGCTTAAATCATGATATGATGATGCTATCATATGGCTTACTTATTAAAAGTTCAATTTTGGTTTAATTATTACACAGAAGTAGTGTATACTATTTCCTAAAGCACATTCTATTACTAAAACGATTTGGTGAACATTCTGCTAAATTTTTGTTCATGCCTCTGTTAAAGATAACAGACTGTGGACGTTGCCAATGTCGCATGATTATGTAAATAGAATAGAATGGACAATATTAATGAAAGCAATCATTATAGCCTGTACCCAAAGGGTGAAAGGCTATACTAGTTTTGTGCGCATGTATGTAACACACAGAAGGAGGCGTGGCAGACCCCACAAAGTATATATATTATTGATCAGGATGAGAAGCCGAGTCGATATAGCCTTGTCCGTCCGTCCGTCTGTACGTATGAACGCAAGGATCTCAGAAAGTTTTTTCGATGCACCCCCCCACTCCCCCGCAATTCGTGTTTTTTCTTATAACTTCCGTAATTCTCGGAATTTTGAAATCAATTTTGGTAGGTACATCCAGTTAGTACTAATGTGTCCGTATGCCAAATTTCATCATGATAGGTCAATTCTGAAGAAAGTTATAGCCATAAGTAAAATCGCTGCTCATGCGCTCATGCGTATTCTCATTTAATTTAATTAATTAATTCATTCATTCATTTTTTTTCATAATTTAATTTTTTTTTAATTTTTTTTTTAATTTTTTTTTTTTAATTAATCTTGTTTTATTAGTGTAATTTTGGCACCATGTAATGGCTTACTTATTAAAAGTTAAATTTTGATTTAATTATTATACATAAGTAGTATATATATACATATTTCCTGAAGCGGTTTCTATTGCCAACGGTTGGTGAATATACTGTTAAATTCGTAGGCTTGATCATGTCTCTGTTAAGGATAACAGACTGTGGACGTTGCCAATGTCGCATGATTATGTAAATAGAATAGAATGGACAATATTAATAAAAGCAATTATTTCATTAGTGTAATTTGACAGCATATGATAATGGCTCAATTACCGAAAGTTCAATTTTGGCTTAATTATAATACAGAAGTATTGTATACTATTCTTTTCCTGAAGCGCATTCTATTGCTAACGTTTTGGTAAAGATTATGTTTAATTCGCAGGCTTGATCATTTCTCTGTTAAAGATAACAGCCTGTGGAAGTTGCCATTGGGGCTTAAATTTGTAAATAGAATAGAATGTTTGTTTAAATCTGAATGAACGAATGGACAATATTAATAAAAGCAATCATTTCATTAGTGTAATTTGACAGCATATGATAATGACTTAATTATTGAAAGTTCAATTTTCAATCTATTGCTAACGATTTGGTGAATATTCTGTTAAATTCGTAGGCTTGTTCATTTCTCTGTTAAAGATAACAGGCTGTGGAAGTTGCCAATGTGGCATGGTTATGTAAATAAATTAATGAATGCAACAGAGTTTTAATTGGGAGGCGACTGCATTTAAACAATTCAATTTATATAACCCTTCGTGCCGCAACCAAAACAAAACCCAGTTAAATATTGAAATGCAACACGCTGTTGCGCATGTGTCTGCGCGGATGGCCAAAAGTGCAAGCCTAACCGATGCCGATGCCGATTCGAGCGCAGCCAACGCCAACAGTAACTGGTCGGAACCATCCATGTGCGGTCTATATAATGCTCGTTTAATACAGTTTGGTGCACCAGATGTGGTTATGCGGAATCATGAAATGAAACTTGTATGCGCAACACAGACAGTCTCCTACTAGTGTTTGCGAGATCGACAGAATAATAACAAGAAATTATTTGTATGTTTGGATGCCACTTTACTGGAACAACAATCATCGCTCAGATTTAGCCGTCTATGGGACGCCAAGAAGACTCACATGTGTGCCAGTTGCTGCAGTTGTTGCATCTAACTTGTCTGACTTCTTTGGCCACAACTGTCAAACCAGCACACAAAGTTCAATGATGTTGCTCTGGCAACAAAAATAAATCCACTCGAGTGTTGAATAATTTGAAGAGCTACCAACTTTTTGCGCAGCTCAATGCGCATTTGGAGCATGTGCCTGTACCATAGACTGTGGCTAATTCTCCGATGCCAGCAATTTCGCCATAATTAGTGTAATTCTCTTCTTCAAAACATGCTACACCTTTAAGAATAGATTTCAAGATTTTCAATTTGAAACTTGAAAAGCGGCTCAATTTTAATTAAGAAGTTCTTAAATGTAACAAGGCGAATGATTTACTGTTCTACAATGAAGGAAAATTGTATAAATGTATGAAACACCATTCAGTTCAGAAAGATCACATTTAATGGAATATATGTACATATTTAAAGCAAGCATTTAGGGTAATAATTAGTGCAATTAGTGTAACTCTCTTCTTCAAAACATGCTACACCTTTAAGAATAGATTTGAAGATTTTCAATTTGAAACTTGAACAGCGGCTCAATTTTAATTAAGAAGTTCTTAAATGTAACAAGGCGAATGATTGCATGTTTTACCATAAAGGAAAATTATTTCTGTACACGTGTATGTATAAAGCATCATTTAGTTCATGAAGATCACCCTTAATAGAATATATTTACATATTTAAAGCAAACATTTAGCATAAAAATTCGAACCAATAACCTGGAACTTCAGATGTAATTTTCAATATCTCATTATTGTAATACATTTTTACCTAACTTGATTAATTTTTGGGTGAAAATAAATAAACAATGACGTGTAAAATATGCCGATCCCATTATATCATTATGCACGTTTCTCAACTTTTAAACATACTGTAGAAATACGAGTACATACTTTTTTATTGTCTGCTCACAAATAAAACCAAATGATTTGTGCATTTTTCAGTTTTTTATATAACTGTGCTTGCCATTAGGTTTGCGTTGGCGTATGTTTTTGTTTACCAAGCAACAGCTCGCTTTTATTTAGGTACATCAAAACCACTTTTTAGTTGGCACACAAATTTGAAAGAGCCTTTGTATACCCTTCACTCAAAGGCAAAAGGGGTAAATTAGTTTTCCATCACCGAATGAAACGAATTTCTTTCTCGCCAAGTGCTACTTAGTGTAGTTTTTGCCGAAAAATCAACTAACAAACGTATTCATGATTACATTTACTTGATAATTCTTCAAATCTCCTGCCTTAAGTTTTAAGCATGAATATGCATTCTTGGAGGGTAGGACAAGACTAGTCGATATACCCATGACCATTTATCCAAGCATCCATCCAAAGCAGCAGGAATAATCTACTGCGAAATACATCTTCCCCTAACAAACTTGTCCTGCCTAAGAAGTTTGTTATTTTTCCAAATTATGATATTACATCTGGTTAGAGAATTTCTGTCAATTTTGTATGTAAGCAGTATGTACTATGTATAAAGCAGAACCAGAATAGAAACTTAAAATAGAGAAACATAAATCTTGTCTTGCTTAGGGAAACATAAATACAAAGTTTGGTTATTCTAGAACTTATACTTGCCGAGATACTTGCGCTCATACAGACGGACATAGATATGTATATCGACTCGTCTCGTCTTGTCATTCAAAATAACTGTTGGTTGGTACATACCATATGTGCCCATAGAAATTTTTGGGGATTGGGTATAAAAGAACGACATGAACATTTCTTTTTCAGTAAGCCTGGACTTTTTTTCCAGGTTTTGGAAAACACGTTCGTGGGGCTGTGATGTTAAAAAATTTTGGATTTTTTTTTATAAATGCTGCATTTTTTTAAAATTGGATACCCATTAACAAGCAAAATCAACAATTGGTATCAGTAACCCCCAAAACGAAAGAGTGTGGGCTTATTTAAAAACATTTAAGACTAAATGCGATTTGATAAATTATTTGTTTCGCCTGCCTAATTTCCGAGGGAATATACAACCTATCATACGAATGAATTGTCTTAAAATATATATAGATATAAACATATGTATATGTACGTATGTATATAGATACTACTATTTCGGTGGACCGTTCACAGGCTAACACGGGGAAGTAATACACAGCAAAGAATAGCTTCTATAGACACTAATATACACTTTGGTATTAACCCCACACAAGCAACTAAAAATAGTGCCAATTCATACACGCACACACGTTTAGCAAGATACAATTGTATCTAAGTACATATATCTCGAAACTTAGGTATCGTAGAAAGTAAAAGAAATTTACTATTCTGGTTGGAAGAGGCAGATCCTATATGGTCTAGTGGCTAGGATATCTGGCTTTCACCCAGAAGGCCCGGGTTCGATTCCCGGTATAGGAAACATCTTCCTTTTTTGCCTGCTAAGTGCCCTAAGTATCTGAAAAACATGCGCAAGTTAAATGGCACAATGTCATTTGGTAATTATGTGTGTGCGCTGTTTTTGCAATTGTTGCTAGTTTAGGGTTTGCCTAATAAAGCATTTAGCGTAGTTAATAGCGTGTAAAACGCTCAGTTCAAGACCCCACTAAACGGGCTCTGCGTTTGTCTTTTGAAATTATTTATTGCACATGCGAGTGGATTTCGACGTTCAGATCTGTATAAACGTAGTTTTGAACTCAAAGTCAGTTGCGGAAAAATGTCTCAAATGCAGCAATTTGACTTTTCTGGGAAGACGTCAAGGCGCTAAATATGTGGCAATATTGCCAGCACATATACTATATTTTAATATTTAATGGGCCTCCGACAGCCAAAAAAAAACATTTTGTTTGCGCAATGTTTGCAAATATATTTTCAAATGCGTCACAAAGGCCAACAAATACTATGGCTATACTCGTATAGGTATTCAAATAGTGTGCACTTACCAGGTCTCGTTATACGTCCCACATTGAAACGATGTGTGTAATTCACTTTGAAATATTGCTCAACAACAGCACGTTCAGCCTTACCCTCTCCATTGATGGGCGAAAAAAGATATTCGGGATCGATTTGATATTTTAACTGCTGGTACCTGCAGCGAAACAAATAGAAAGTGTAAAATATTGATCTCTACTCGTAGATAGCCATTACAGTTAGTCCCCCTTAACCCCAATGAATTAGCACCCCCCTGTCCTTTACATTTTGCAACATTTACTTCTTAATTGCGTATATCTACGAGATCTGTTCAGAAGAATACGTTCTGGCCAACAGGTCGTACGGTTATTAAGGAGTATTACAAGGAAGTTATAGAACGTTTAAGTATATATATTAATATATACATATATATATACAAGGCCTCTTCAAAAGAAATGGTGAGTTTTGATTCCTTTGAAAATCATTTATTTATTCATCAATATCCGTCTTGTCCCCTTCATAGCAATCCTCCTGATATAATGCACTTATGCCATGGCACATGGCTCACTGCGACTTTTTCCTATTCCCAAATCTGAAGAGACCAATGTAAGGAAAGCGTTTTGCCACAATTGATGAGATAAAATCGAAGAACGAGCTGATAGCAATACCGAAAAGCGCGTTTCAGAAGTGCTTTGAGGATTGAAAGAATCGCTGGCATTCTTGTAAGTGCATTATATGTGAGGGGGATTACTATAAAGGGGACAAAATAGATATTGTTGAATAAATACTTTTCGAGCAAAATTCAAAATTGCCCTTTTTTTTTTGAACAGACCATATATACAGTGTATGTGTATGGCATATCTCGATACCATTTGTATTCATTTATTCAATGTATTTTTGCTAATTGCCATGAAGGCCGCTAGAAGAATGAGTTGGTTTTCCAGTAGTCTAATAAATTTCTCAAAACTCAAAAAAAAAAAAATCGAAATAATCTGCTTAGGCGTTTGTTTTCTAAAATCTCCAATCAAGGTCAGTGTCGTTCCAATTGTGAACAGAGGTAATAGTTTCCGATACCAAAAGAATACAAAATCGTAAATGCCGCTCATATGTGGCACACGTTTGCTTTTTAGGATTTGAAACATAGTAGAAAGGGAAAATTCAATAAATAATAATAAAGCATTTAAAATATTTATTTTTGTTATTTGTTATTATATGCAACTTGGGGGAATGGAGTCCGGACTTGGGGTGTAGCTGCATCGTAGAACACCAAACGGGCTCAGACCCTTCTGAATAAAGCCTTCCGGCTTATCACTGGCTGCGACTTGTATGTTCCAAATAATACGCTACACCATCGAACTCATCAAGACAGACTAACCAGCCTGATACCAGAAGCCCGCCAATATCCCTCCTGAAACACTGCTAGTTTTCCATTAAGTCAGAAGCATACAGAATAGAAGTATTAAGCAACTTATAGTTAGTATTTGTATTTGTATTTTTTTATTTTATATATTCATGATCAGCATGTAGTACGACTTTGTTTTATTTTTTTAATGCACCCGATCTGATCACCCGACCTTAGCTTTTCCACTTCTTTTTGAATGTACATGATTGAAGTAATCTACAAAATTAAAGATGAGTCAATCAGTGTAAACCACTTGTCTGACCTCTCAGAAACAAGAAAGGGTGCTATAGTGGAGCATGACGAGCATGCATGAACATGAAATACCCTTTATCCAAGCAGACTTCTGGTACAGTTAAATTATATGAGCAGAAGCAAGATGAAGCGCGAACGTGATGTTGCAGATGTTACACTTAAGATGCTTAAAATGCGTAACTGCACAGCGTCGGATTGATTTGTTTGTAAATCTGTATATAATAAGTTTAATTTAAGTGAATTAACCGAGTTAATTAACCAATTTCGTTAAAAGCCAGGATTAAGGAATAAAGTAATCTTATTAGTAAACAATATTAGGCAAAATGTGGCATCGTCTTTTGATTTATAAACATTTTTGATTTGAAACAACTTTGTTGATTTATTAACTTTTCTTAGAATTCACCGATTAGGGTTAAATTGAAAACAAAAATATGAAATTATAGGGGAACCTCGATACCAAGTTTGGTTATTCTAGCTCTTGTACTTCCTGACATTGCGCTCATACAGACAGACAGACGGACATGGTTATATCCACTCGTTTGATTTGATGAAGTGTAACTCTTGTTAATTAAAAAGGGAGCCCCGATCATACGAGTAAAAGCTAATGAGCTGATTCAAATAATTTAGGATGTACTTACCCCGTCATACAGAGGAGCGTCAACAAAACAGGTATGATCACAAAATAGCCCGGATGCTTGGCTATGCATATACCTAAATGGTAGAATGATTTGTTGAGTGTCCTATCGACACAGGAGATGCCGCAAGTCATCTGAAAGTACACGGATTCGAATAGTTCAATAATAATTACATTTAATAAGCTGGGGAGAAAGTATTATCCAGATATTTATGTACTTTGTTATAAGTATACATACACATATAATAATATATTTTGTGAACGGAAAAGGCAATGCTTTACTTACAAATGTCTGTCATGCAATAAAGGTGTGTTCTACAGCTAACAATATATCAAGAGCTCTGGTAATGTAATTACGCAATATTTGAGGTCAATATACGAGTACGTATAGTGTAGTAAATGCTTATTAAATGAGTGCACATCTGTTGGCTCAAGCTCGGGCGCAGAGTCGGCTTAGCACTTTGAAAAGTCAGCTAAAATTGTTGCGTGCATGTCAAACTCTAATGTGCTTTTTTCAATGAAGGTGAAAGACAAAAAGCAAAGGTATTTGCGTGTGTCCGTCCGTCCAACTATGTTTTTGTGTAGATTGAAGCTATTATTTAGACGTCGCGTCGTCCATATTGTTTGTATGTAAGTCGTGTCTACTTGGCTTTGTGTGTTCATCGACACCTTCAACTTAAACTTTAAACACGCATAGTTTTTAGCTGCTTGGCTGCTGTTTACCTAAATAAATTTGATCAAATGCCCTTGTTCGACTAAACAAACAAAAAACTACAAAATTTGTCTAATAACGACTTAACCATGATTAAAAAGTCAAGTACGATGGCTTTGCAGCTACTTAACTTATTTAATCTTTCACTATTTATGAACACATAAAACAGATACATGTTGTAACAAATGCATTTTGAAGTTGCTCCATTTATCAGCGTTAAATTAAAAGTAAACTAAATTACTTATCATATTATACACAAAAATATTATATATACCCATAGGTTTTTATCTCAATAAAATGTACTGCATTACTTGTTTTTATTTATGTTACTTGACATTGATAATAAAACAAAAAAGATAAAATACTACATAAAATAATAAATGTATAAAAAAGTAGTCGCCCCCGGGTGGACTCGAACCACCAACCTTTCGGTTAACAGCCGAACGCGCTAACCGATTGCGCCACGGAGGCCTGTCCTCGGCAACGGCCAAAAGCCCTAAAAATCACATTAAGCAAAATATTCATTCAAAATATTTCATCGACAAAAAAACCGCTGATGTAAAAAAAGAAGGAAAAAATACAATAAATAAAAGAATAAAAAGCCTATAGAAATTACAAAAATATCTAATAACAAATCCGACTCTGTGGGGGAATTTTGATTACCAAACGGTCAATTTTATGCCTCAAAATAAAACAGATAATGGTCAAAGCTGTTTTATTTATGACTATAACTTATCAGATTGGGTCTGAATTTAGTTGATCATGGAAGAAGAAAATGTATGTTTGAAAATAAATTTTAAATGTATTTATTGTCTAAGCGGGTGGACTAAGTCATATCATTTAAAATATGATTTAGTAGCCCAATATGAATAAAACTTTCTATATGATATCAATGGCTACATCAATGAAACTTACTACTCTGCTCTTATTCGAGCTCTGTTTAAGCCTAATCGGTCCAACATGTACATACATCCATGATCCGGCTGCTTTGGGCTAATTTTAGGAATAAGAAGACGGTTAAAAATGTTACCTCGATAATTTAAAGATTTAATGACAAGTGCTTGGAAAAAGACAGACGGACGGAGAGACAGAGACCGATTCCAGGGGTTATCGTGTTGTTGTTTGTTTTGGACAATAGGGTCTTCTGGGCGTTACAAATATCACAAAAACTCGATATAAAAGCATATCGAGGATTAAGTAGATAATTATATTTAAAAAACACTTTTCAAAAAGTAATACCGCCTCCGGGTGGACTCGAACCACCAACCTTTCGGTTAACAGCCGAACGCGCTAACCGATTGCGCCACGGAGGCTCATGGCGTTCTCCGGACAAATGCTCTAAAAGAGGAATATACAAATGTATGTGTAGACTTTTGTGTTCAAACAATCAGTTTCAGAAGCCCCTAGCAAGCTTTTTTTTCTTTAATTGTTTATGAATGAAATATTTAAACTGATTAACTTGTGCTTGAACTTGAAAAGATTGTTGGCTTATCAGCGTACAGCCAATAAATAAAAATGCTACATCTAACTATAACCTTGGATTTCTGCACATGCACAAGTTACATTTAATTAGCACATGCCCTTATAAGTTGTCAATATAGTTTATGCTCCATTTAATTATACGCCAATTTGCAACTACAATCTGCGTAGTTTGCTCAAGTAATTAGTCATTGCCAAGCTCAATATGAAATACGTACATACTTGTAGATCACAGAGCATTATGAGCAGTGAGAACAAAAAAAGGGAAATATGGACAAAAACATTACACTACATGAATAGAATATTAGCTTTTTTATAATAAACAAAAATTTGACAATTGTTTCCTTAAGTAGAGAGTGCTGAAAACAATCAATCTTAATATTTCAACTTCAAGTCGTTAGACGCAAGCAAGCAGTCAAAGTGGCTTTAAAACTGTGTTCGTCCAACTGCGGCTTCAAAACTGTGTCGCTATTATCTATTGTCTATTTATGATTTACATGTTAATTGCTTGCTTTTTGTTTATAAATAACTTTGCATATGCATGCTAAAAGCTAACTAAGCGCCAATTTAATGAGTTTTTTACACAAATTTATTATACATATATAGTATGTTTGTGCATGCTATACATGCAGATCATGCAGTTCGGTTACTTTCCATTTTTTTGAGTTCAACGACAACTGACTCTGCACTTTTACAATAAAAAAAAATATATGTAGTTACAAATGTTATTTCTGCAGTTAAACATACTCGTACGTTACAACATACCAGAGTCAGCACTCGAACTCAAGTGCCGGTCGGGTGAGTAGTCGGATTGCCTACAAAATTGAGTCACGCTGCGACTCAAGGTTACAACTGCTCAGCATAATTTTTATTCGGTTTTGGGCGCCCCAAAAACTGTTGCGCAGACACAGACACTGTGGCGCTTTTGTTGACATAACGAACCGTTATGTCAAAGTGATTTAATAAACAAGTCGGGCGCCGAGCCAGGCAGTTGCCAGAAACTTGATGGGCGTCAAAATGTGTGTTAAAATCCCAGAAAATGAGACAGCAGCTTAAATTATCAAGTGGGCCCACAGACATCAGGTAGCAGGTGTGCGTTTAATAGAGATCATTTTTTGATATAGGCGCAAAGCAAGTTGCACATCGAAATGCAATGTTTCAAAAGGCAGAGCTATTGCATCGCGTCGAACCAACACATCAGGCCAAGGTAGTGATGAAATGTGCCTACTCAGATAGATTGTGTGTGTGTGTGTAGAGGATGGACTGAGTTCATATTGAGATACACACTTTTAAAATGCCATACAAAATTTATTGTCTATTTTCAGAGTTTAGTTATCACTTCATTCATTCATTCATATGTGCTGTAGATTCTTCAAGTTATACATACTATACTACCTTTTAAAGATATAGTTTTCATGACAGATAATTATAAAAAAAGGCATACATTTTTTAGCTTGCAAGACTGTGATTCTGGGCGTCGACTTACAAGTATGAACACAATATCTTTATGAACGACATTTTCATATAAAACCGAAATATTTCTAAGTTTTATCGCTTGCATGACAAGTTTATGATAGGAGGAGTAGTATTTGAAACACAACGATGGACAGACCTAAATGGCCTTTCAAATTCTGATCCACTATTCTTTCTTCTGAGTGTGACACACTTACACACCACAAACGATTTAGTCTTACACACAAAATAGCCCAAAGTCATACCAGAGTGCCTGGTTCGAATCTTTTATCCTTTACAAAGCTTCGATTTTTCTGTGAAACAAGCAGGAAACGGATATGACTTTTTAACTAAAATATAAAAAAAATCGAAAATATCGAAAAAAAAAACGACGCATGAGACTACAGCTTTGACACTTTCTGATAGATATAATTTATTAGCTTTTCTTTGCTTCGCCATGGAGGACTTCCATAATAAATTCAGTATAATTTTAAAACAGGGCACTTTTAAATTAAATTAAAAATTGCCTTGAAAACCCAATACAATCAAAAAAGTTGCCTTCATGAATTTATAATTTTATTAAATTAATACATAACTATGGTGAGCGTCAATTTGCAGGTCGTTAAATACTGGAGTCGAAAATACAACTTTGTCAATTAGATAGAAGATCAGACATTCCGCCTTTTTATTTGCTTTCCATCTTTTCAGCTCAAATAGGAATGCTGAAGCTTAATTATGACGTAACATTTTGCATACTGCATAGAAATGAGTTATTACGCAAAAAGGCCTTCTTCAGTTTCTTTTGCACAAACTTTTTAATGGTTGATATAAGTATACCAATTTATAATCTATGATCAAACTATCTCCATTGTTGTTGAAAACGATTGCGTTTGCTGAAAATAATGCTTTTTAGAGGTAAGTATAATAAACAAAACAAAGGCCTAGGTCTACAATCATTGCAGTTCAAAATTCATTAATGAACTTTACAATGATGGCGCAAGTCGCCTGGCGGTCACTTCAGCTTGTCAGCAGCTCTGTTGTTTTTTTTTTTAAACGATCATCCAAATATATGTATCTAAAAAGATCGTTGATGTCAACTGCTTGCCCAAATGACATTAAATGTCAAAAAAGATGCGTTTTGCGTACAATTATTTTTATTTTTGTGTACAATTATTTTTCGCCCATAGCTATTACGTATTGCGACTAAGATAATTTGTTTGAGTTTAAGATGCACGAGTATCTACATTAATGTAAAATACTAAATACCACATCAAGCTTGTTTTTCTCAGCTTTAAGCAGAGACCTGACTTTAATGCCAAATGTGCAAAGTCGGTGCCTTGAAGAGCCTCAATGAAGGCTCGAATTGCGTGCCAAGAAAACTGAAATACACAAATTTAAATGAGCTTTCCGTTTAGCTGTCAACTATATGTCTATAACTAGGCAACGTGCTAGCTATTCGAGTAAGTAAGGGCCCTGCTCAAAATGTGGGTCA